CCGCCCGGCTCCGCCGCTCCCCCAAGCGGCTGGGCCTGCCCCCGCCCAAACCGGGGACCTCCAGGGGCTCCCACACTCCGCGGCGGGATGCCCCCTCCGAGGTCCCAGCGGGCCCACAGACCCCGCGGGCTCTTCTCCAGCGGGGCGGCTGCCCACTGGGTTCCGGGCACAGCGGGCCTCAGCCTGCCCCGGGGGTGGGGAGCTGCGGCCCCCAATTTTGTTTTCTGCCTCCAGAGGCCCCAAGCTGGGCCCCGGAGGAAGCTGAGCGGGGGAGCCGGGCACAGGGGTTCCCAGGCCTCCCGAGCGTCCCTCGGGCCCTGGGGCAGCACCCGTCCACCGCAGCTCGGGAGAGGGGCTGGCGGCCCTGCCACGCTTCGGTCTATTTTTAGCTCCTACGCTGTAATCTCCAGTGGTGATTGCAGCACCCCCAGGTAGGGCCGCTGATTACATAATCACCCAGCTGAGCATGGTGCTGGCAGACGGTGCCCAGGACACGTGCCCTGCCGGGCCCCAGAACTTCTTCTGGGCCCCCCAGGCCACCGGCCAGCTGCCCGGCCTGCCTGGTCTCTGGACCTCGGCCACACCGCCCTGGGGCGTGTCAGGGCTGTCACGCCTCTTGCTCCCCTGCTCTGACAGCCCCGGGTCTTCAGCTGTGTGGGGAGATCGCCACCACCTGTGTCCCACCAACCATCAGCTGACCACACTGACCACTGGCCCTTGGCCAGGTGCAGGTCTGCCAGGGAGCCGGTGGCTGCTCATCTGGGCAGGCAGCCCAGGAGCAGATGCCTGCTGCTGCAGGGTTTACAGGGGGTGCTGCTGGTCAGGGCCAGACGCCGGATACCAGGAAAGGCATGTCCACCCAGCAGGTTTGTTCTTCGAAGCCCAGCTCTCTCCCTCATTAGTGTGTGGCTGGGGGACACAGAGCCCTCCTGGCCCATGGTTGGTCAGCTCAGCGGGCCAGAGTCCGGCCCAGGGCCCCTCGGCGTGGGGCAGGAGGCCGGTCTGGGGACAGGGCAGCTGGGTCGTGCCAGGGCCAAGGAGCAACGCTCTGGCCATTCGGAGAAGAAAAGCCCAAGAGATGAGTCCCCTGAGGCCCTGGGCAGAGGTGGCCCGGGGGTGCCCCAAGCTGGGGCAACACTGAGGGCCTGGCGGGAGCAGGCCCCAGGGCCGCGAATTCAGGCCCGGCCAGCCCAGCACCCCAGCACCCCGCTCCCTGGCGGCCTGGAGCACACCATCCAGAGGGCTGCTCCCCAGGCCCGCGCCTGCGCTGCCCGGCGGGGAGCTGAAGGCCAGCACTGCACTGGGGCGGTGGGCACTGCGGGCTGGGGCTCCTGGCCCAGGAGATGCCCGACAGCCCTGGGAGGGCAAGCAGCCTTAGCCCTTAGCGGGGAGTGTGGGCATCAGCCCCTGGGCAGCTGGGCGGTGGGCTGCAGGCTCAGCCCTGGCCCCGCTGGACCTGGCACCCCGGACCCGGCACCCCAGGAGCCCACCACTGTGTAGCCAGCGTGAGCCGCTGTCACCTACGGCATTCCGGCAGTCCAGGTGCCTCCCACCCTGCTCAGGCCCCACCGCTCCCAGGGCCTTCGGGGTATGGCCCCGCCCCCAGGGATGGCCCCGCCCAGGAATGGCCCCGCCCCAGGGATGGCCCCGCCCAGGGATGGCCCCGCCCAGGGATGGCCCCGCCCCAGGGATGGCCCCGCCCAGGGATGGCCCCGCCC